TATTCCATCCAAACTAATAATAAGTTGTACGAGGTTATGTATGCAAAGCTGCCAGTGTACCACTACTGTATTTCCTTCCGTATACAATTACAAGATTACAGAAAGTAGAAGAAGAGGTAATCTGAATTACTCTGAGTGCTGCAGTCCTTAATTCAGATTTTAATTCAAAGCATGACGTGTTAGGTAAAAGGTATTGATCAAGAACATTAATTGTTAGGGACACCATGAATAGACAAGGTAGATGATACAAACAACCTATGAAAATGTAAAGTAGAGTTGGGCAAAAAATAGAAAATCGGTCATTAATATTAGTAAGATTGATGAGTTTTGCCAAAGATAAGGAAGGTTTCTTTATTACTCCGTACTATCCTAGTATATTATTATTATTACCCTCCCTTCCTTACTTTTTTCCTTTCTTTGCTTCCCGATTTCCTTTCTTTCCTTTCTTTCCAGTTCCTTTTCCTTCCCTGTTCCCACTCCGACTACTCCCTGCCCCTCGCACCCTACTTCTGCGAGGGTGTTGGTGGGATGGGGAGGGTGCTGGTGAGCTGGGGAGGGGGCTGGGGAGCTGAGGATGGGGCTGGTGGGATGGAGAGGGGGCTGGGGAGCTGGGGAGGGGGGCTGGGGAGGGGGTTGGAGAGCTGGGGAGGGGGTGGAGAGCTGAGGATGGGGCTGGAGGGATGGAGAGGGTTCTGGTGAGCTGGGGAGGGGGTTGTGGAGCTGGGGAGGGGCCTGGTGGGATGGGGAGGGTTCTGGTGAGCTAGAGAGGGGCTGAGGAGGGGGCTGGTGGGATGGGGAGGGTCTGGTGAGCTGGGGAGGGGTCTGGGGAGATGAGGATGGGGCTGGTGGGATGGGGAGAGTTCTGGTGAGCTAGGGAGGGGCTAGGGAGGGGGTTGTGGAGCTGGGGAGGAGGCTGGTGGGATGGGGAGGGTTTTGGTGAGCTGTGGAAGGGGTTGGGGAGCTGGGGAGGGGGCTGAGGAGGTGGGTGGGGAGCTGGGGAGGGGGCTGGTGGGAAGGGGAGGGGGATGGGGAGTTGGTGAGGGGGATGGGGAGGTGGCTGGGGAGCTGGGGAGGGGCTGGTGGGATGGGGAGGGTGCTAGGGAGGGGGTTGGGGAGCTGAGGATGGGACTGGTGGGATGGGGAGGGTTCTGGTGAGCTGGGGAGGGGTTGTGGAGCTGGGGAGGGGTCTGTTGGGATGGGGAGGGTTCTGGTGAGCTGGGGAGGAGCTGGGGAGCTGGGGAGGGGCTGGTGGGATGGGGAGGGTCTGGTGAGCTGGGGAGGGGCTGATGGGATGGGGAGGGGGCTGGTGTGGGAGATGGAGAGGCGGCTGTGACAGTGTCTAGCTTTAAGTAATCATCTCATATAAATTTTAAATGATATGTTTGATTGAATATGTTAGAGAAGGCACTGTGATTATGGATCGTAGCTGGATAAATTCTAGACAGACTAGTGTTGTGTATGAAAATGGAGTGCAAGAGTTTCTAGAATTTGCCCAGAAAAATCTTCCTCACAATAATAATAAATTTTATTATCCATGTGTTAAATGCATAAACTTGCGACAACTGCATGTTGAGCTTATACGAGAGCATCTTATTTGTGATGGATTTTGTAAAAGCTACACAAAATGGATTAGGCATGGTGAGTCATTTGAAATGCCGCCAAGTATGTCTTCACACAGAGGTGTGCACCGGTTCAAAACCGGACCGGACCGAACCGGACCAGATATCATTCCGGTTCGATCCGGTTCCAATTTTTCCGGTCCGGTTCGGTCCGGTTTTGTGGTTTAAACCGGATAGTGCACACCCCTAATTATTATTATTATTGTTGTTATTATTATTATTGTTATTGTTATTGTTATTTTGTAATTATAAATGAATAAAATATAATTATTTATGGATTATAATATATATAAAAAATAAAATCTTTATGCAAAAAATATATAAATAAAATTTTAGACCAGACCAGACCAGATCAGACCAAAACAGACCAAAACAGACCAGACCAGACCAGACCAGACCAAAAAAGACCAGACCAGACCAAACCAAACCAAACCAGTAAATTATAGTCCAAGTAAAAACATCCTAATTTAAAAGAATGAGTCAATATTTTATAAATCGCATATTTTTTTTACCGAAATTAAATTGTTAAACACATATTTGAGTGCTTATTTTTGTTGAATTTCCAATTTTGAGCTGGACGAATGTCTTAAATAGAATAGGAAGATGGGTCAAATAGAATATTTGGGTTTGTTTGTGGCCGGAAGTGCCAATTCCGACTAGGGAGTAGGGGCTAATTCATTGGTCACCGTTTAATGGTGATCCGTGTGGCGATCCATAGATAGTGAAGTTTACTATCAACCGTTGGATATTTTTTGTGGTATAAATTAAGTTGTTTGTGTTTCTTGTCGTTGATTGTCACACTTTAATTTTCTCTTAATTTGGTTGTTACATCATCTTATACTCCAGTTACAAGTTATAATGCGTGAGTTACATCTTGTTATACGTGAGTTACATACTTTTATGCGCGAGTTACATACTTTTATGCGCGAGTTACATGTAATTATGTGTGAGTGATATCTAATTATTTGTGATTTTTTACTTATCTTTATCTTGAACTAATTAAATTATAACTGAATTAATTTGTTTTGAAAGAACTGAATTAATTTTTTCCTTTACCAATTTAATACAAAATTTTATTAATCCACATAAAATAAATATATTGTATTTCATATTCATACGTACACTATTTCTTACTTTGTATACTTTTTTATATTTATTATACACTTTTTTGTAAAATATTTTTATATTCATATACTTTTTTCTATAATATATTTCTTCTCTTTTATACGTTTTTTGTGTTTTATAGCCATTAAGGTTGTTTATTTCAATTTAAATTTGAAAAAAAACATGAGAATAATGCATTTTTCGTATGTGTGAGTTATGCTTATGGATAATTTCTATAATTACATTTGATATTATATGGAGTTAAATCTTCTTATGCACGATTTACCTCTTCTTGTGCGTGATTACATCTTTCTATACGTGAGTTACATTTGAGTTTGCCTCAACAAGTTACATTTTGCATACACTAAAGTTAGATTTTCAATCAACGCAGGTTACATTTTCTGTAATACGAATTACATCACAACATAAAGCCTACTATTGAAACAAAAGAATCATTGTTATTGAAAAAAAATTGTTTTCCAAAAAAATATGTGTTTTGGCAAAAAATATATTTTTAAAAATATTTTTATGGACTTAATATTAAAAAATATATATTCAACATTTATGCTAACCCCTGCTATTGAATAAAAAAATTACTTTTTTTGCAAAAACTAAATGAGTTTTTGGCCAAAAAATGATTTTTGGCAAAAAAAGATTAAAAAAAATTATGTCCTTAATATTAAAAACAAAACATATAAACTATTTAAGTAAAGTAATTGAGCAATTAGACTCCTTGTTTTCATTAAAATCAATGTTTTATTTCTTAGAATTCATATTAGACAAGTTACATTTTGACTTGCTGGTTGTTACATTTCTTATTAACGTGAGTTACATTTTGTTACACGCGAGTTACACCAATTCCGCTACTGGGACAATGAAAAAACAAAAAAGAAGTTATTGTTCACGCGCGTGAACAGTAACACGTTTTTTTGTGGGAGCAGCATGCTCATCGTGAGCTGCTCCCACAGTATACCAACTGAGCCTTAGGTCTTAACGTAGACTCATCCATGCATTGATGGAACAATTTTAATAATAAGATCTTAATCTGCGAGTTCTAAATAAAATAAAGACTGTTTTTTGTTCATCGTGATGCATATTATATGCGGCTAATGCATAAATGCATTGTTCACATTGGATATTAGTTTGTCATCTATTAAAAATGCATTCTTTCTTTTATCGAATTTGGTACTTTATTGAATTAAGAGTACCTCCATTCTTCAAATATACGATTTTTATGATTTATCATTAATTAATTACTATGTGATTGCACATAAAAAAATCATATCAAAACTTATATCAAGTCTCCATCAACTACAGGGGTGGAGACCGAGGAGGCTGGCGGGGGCCTCGCCCCCCACAAGAAAAGAATGCAATAATATAAGCAGTAATAATGTATAGTGAAAATTTAAGCTTTGACTTCCGCTATATAAATTCCTTAAGCCCCTAACCAATAAAAGAGATGTTGAGTAATTTTAAACGGGGAGAGTATAAAAGTCAACATCTCTTTTATTGATCCTTGCTATCTGATGGATTATAGGGTATCCAAAGTATATTAAAATGGAGAGATTTGAGATAATGTGAGGAAGATGAATAGTAGAAATGATATTGTGTATGAATTATGAGTTATGTTCTAGGGTTACAAATGGCTCCAAGAGGAGTATAAATAGGGAAATAATGGGCCGGGCCGCTAATATGGGCCCGGTAGCCCAACTACATAAAAGACTAATCTAGTACATAGTTACATACAAATGACGTATAAGCAGTACAATAATACAAATGATATCCGTAAGATGTGTGTGGGCCGCTGTCTGGGCCCAATAGTCATGAGACCCGGGGGTCCGAGTCTATATACTCTATCAGGAGTCCCCCACTCTCTGAGTCGAGAGTATTCGAGGCGAAAGAGAGTAGAACTGTGTGATGATCTGTCGTCGTCTGGTGAGTAAACTTCGTGAACAAAAATTTGAATTTCTGCTTCTTTGGTTAACGGAGGCGCTAAGTCCCCCGCTCTTCCAGTCCCCCACTCCTTGAGGCGAGTGTAATGAGGTGAAGAGGAGTAGAGTAATGCGTGTCGGATGATGTCTTCAACAGGGGGCCAAGGGTTGACACCTTTTGATCCACGGTGGGGAGATGACTCGTTAAAAACCTCATTAGGAAAAACCCTGTGGGAAAAAATCCTAATGAGGGAAAAAGAGTACATCGGATGCCCCCAAAATGAAACAAAAGGTGCGAGCCCTTCGGCCTGGAGATGGAGCTGCAGTGGTGCCCATCTGCTGGATGGTCGAGGCCGATCTCTAGATGTGGGTAGCTCATCATGATCAGTAGTCCTAGTCATCAAATAAAGATGACTAAGGGATGGGTCGAGCGACCGTCCACAATATGATGTCTGGTTCATCAAATAAAGATGACCAGAACGTAAGGCCGATGGGCCGAGAGGCCTGTACGAGAGCTCCACGTTGTCGCATAAGGACGACGAGGCGATGTATGGCCGAGGGACCTGCATAGAGCTCCACGTCGTCAAATAAAGACGATTGGGCGATGTGTGCGGCCGAGGGGCCTGCATAAGAGCTCCACGTCGTCAAATAAAGACGACGAGGCGATGGTGTGGCCGAGGGGCCTGCATAAGAGCTCCACGTCGTCAAATAAAGACGACGAGGCGATGGTGCGGCCGAGGGGCCTGTATAAGAGCTCCACGTCGTCAAATAAAGACGACGGGGCGATGGTGCGGCCGAGGGGCCTGCATAAGAGCTCCACGTCGTCAAATAAAGACGACGGGGCGATGGTGCGGCCGAGGGGCCTGCATAAGAGCTCCACGTCGTCAAATAAAGACGACGGGGCGATGGTGCGGCCGAGGGGCCTGCATGAGAGCTCCACGTCGTCAAATAAAGACGACGGGGCGATGGTACGGCCGAGGGGCCTGCATAAGAGCTCCACGTCGTCAAATAAAGACGACGGGGCGATGGTGCGGCCGATGGGCCTGCATAAGAGCTCCACGTCATCAAATAAAGATGACGGGGTGATGTATGGCTCAGAGGCCTACAAATGAGTTCTACGTCATCAAATAAAGATGATAGAATGACATATGGCCGATGGTCCTGTAGATGAGCTCTTCGTCATCAAATAAAGATGACAGAGCGAGATATGGCCGAGGGGCCTGTAAATGAGCTTCGCGTCATCAAATAAAGATGACGAGGCGATATATGCCCGATGGGCCTGCAACTGAGTTTCACGTCATCAAATAAAGATGACGGAGCAAGATGTGGCTCAGAGGCCTACAAATGAGTTCCTCGTCATCAAATAAAGATGACAGAACAATATATGGCCGATGGGCCTACAAATGAGCTCTTCATCATCAAATAAAGATGACAGAGCGATATATGGCCGATGGGCCTGCAAATGAACTTCGCGTCATCAAATAAAGACGACGGAGCGATATATGGCTGAACTCTGGGCTCCTTTAGCCTTTCAGCCGGAGACCGCAAGATGTTCGCTATATCTGAATAGGGGGACGAGGCGGTGGACGCCTGTCTGAATATGAGGGCGACGACGCTGATGATTCGGTCCGAATATGAGGACGACAGCGCTGACGAGCCGATCCGAATATGAGGATGAGGCAATGATAAGCCGCGTGTCATATGAAGGCGACGGTCACCATCCAGGAAGGGATTGGCAAGCCTGGTCGCTAGATAAGGACTTCAGCGCTGGGGCCGATCTAAATGTGAGGACGAGGCGATGATAAGCCGTACGTCATATAGGGGCGACGGTCGCCGTCCGGGAAGGGATGGCGATCCCAATCGCTATAACAAGACTTCGGCGCTGGGAGCCGGTCTTGAGATAAATAATCACGTCGCGGCCGAGAGGCTGATCACGATGTGCGGATGACAATGATGAGGAGCCAGTCCGAAATATGATGACGAGGCGATGATGGAGCCGATCGTCATATAGAGGCGATAGTCACCATCCAGGAGGGGAAGGCGAGCCTGATCACTAGCCCAACACACTTGGTGCTGATGAAGCCGGTGTTGGGATAGGGTGTGACGTCGTGGCCGAGGGGCCGATCGTGATGCGAGGTCGTCAGCACTATGAGGCTGATCCAAAAGTCCAAGCAGCGGTCGCCATCCGATGAAGGAATGACTGAGACCGGTCTTGGGGATAGATAATCACGCCGAGGCCGAGGGGCCGATCGTGATGTGCGGACGGAGATGATGAGCCGATCCGATAATATGATGACGAGGCAAGAATGAAGCCAATCGTCATATAAGGGCGATGGTCACCATCCAGGAAGGGATGGCGAGCCCGATCGCTAGCTCAAGACTCTCGGCGCTGAGGAAGCCGGTCTTGAGATAGATAGTCACGCCGAGGCCGAGGGGCCGGTCGTGATGCGCGGATGGCGATGAAAAGAGCCAATCCGAAATATGATGACGGGGCAATGATGAGCCGACCGTCATATAGAGGCGATGGTCACCATCCAGGAAGGGATGGTGAGCCCAGTCGCTAGCTCAAGATCGCGTTGAGACCGAGGGGTCTGCCGCGATGTGAGCATGGCGGCGATGATGAGCCGTTCCAATAAATGATGACGAGGCCATGATGGGCCAATCGTCATATAAAGGCGACGATCACCATCCGGGAAGGGATGGTGAGCCCGATCGCCAGCTCAAGACTCTCGGCGCTGAGGAAGCCGGTCTTGTGATAGATAATCACGCCGAGGCCGAGGGGCCGGGCATGATGTGAGGACGACGGCGATGAGGGGCCGGTCCAAAAATCCATGCAACGGTCGTCATTCGGTAAAGGAATGACTAAGACCGGTCTCGAGATAAATAATCACGTCGAGGCCGAGGGGGCCGGTCGTGATATGAGGACGAAGGCACTGAGGGGCCGGTCCGAAGATCCATGCAACGGTCGCCATCCGGGAAGGGATGACTAAGACCGGTCTCGAGATAAATAATCACGTCGAGGCCGAGGGGGTCGATCGTGATATGAGGACGACGACGATGAGGAGTCGGTCCAAATAATGATGACGAGGCGATGGTGAAGCCGATCGTCATATAGAGGCGATGGTCACCATCCGGGAAGGGATGGCGAGCCCGATCGCTGGCTCAAGACTCGCGGCGCCGAGGAAGCCGGTCTTGAGATAGATGATCACGCCGAGGCCGAGGGGCCGGTCGTGATGTGAGGATAACGACGATGAGGAGTCGGTCCAAATAATGATGACGAGGCGATGGTGAAGCCGATCGTCATACAGAGGCGATGGTCACCATCCGGGAAGGGATGGCGAGCCCGATCGCTGGCTCAAGATTCGCGGCGCTGAGGAAGCCGGTCTTGAGATAGATGATCACGCCGAGGCCGAGGGGCCGGTCGTGATGTGAGGACAACGACGATGAGGAGTCGGTCCAAATAATGATGACGAGGCGATGGTGAAGCCGATCGTCATATAGAGGCGATGGTCACCATCCGGGAAGGGATGGCGAGCCCGATCGCTGGCTCAAGACTCGCGGCGCTGAGGAAGTCGGTCTTGAGATAGATGGTCACGCCGAGGCTGAGGGGCCGGTCGTGATGTGAGGACAACGGCGATGAGGAGCCGGTCCTATAATGAGAGACGGCGCTGGGCGCTCATCTGGGAAATGATGGACGGCGCTGGGCGCTCGTCTGAGATGATGGACGGCGCTGGGCGCTCGTCTAAGATGATGGACGGCGCTGGGCGCTCGTCTGAAAATGAGGGACGGCGCTAGGCGCTCGTCTAAAAAATGGAGGACGGCGCTGGGCGCTCGTCTAAGATGATGGACGGCCCTGGGCGCTCGTCTGAAAATGAGGGACGGCGCTGGGCGCTCGTCTAAAAAATGAAGGACGGCGCTGGGCGCTCGTCTAAGATGAGGGGCGGCGGTGGGCGCTCGTCTAAGATGATGGACGGCGCTGGGCGCTCGTCTGAGATGATGGACGGCGCTGGGCGCTCGTCTGAGATGATGGACGGCGCTGGGCGCTCGTCTGAAAACGAGGGACGGCGTTGGACGCTCGTCTGAAAATGATGGACGGCGCTGGGCGCTCGTCTAAAAAATGAAGGACGGCGCTGGGCGCTCGTCTGAAAATGAGGGACGACGCTGGGCGCTCGTCTACAAATGGAGGACGGCGCTGGGCGCTCGTCTAAGATGAGGGACGGCGCTGGGCGCTCGTCTGAAAATGATGGACGGCGCTGGGCGCTCGTCTAAAAAATGAAGGACGGCGCTGGGCGCTCGTCTGAAAATGAGGGACGGCGCTGGGCGCTCGTCTACAAATGGAGGACGGCGCTGGGCGCTCGTCTAAGATGAGGGACGACGCTGGGCGCTCGTCTGAAAATGATGGACGGCGCTGGGCGCTCGTCTAAAAAATGAAGGACGGCGCTGGGCGCTCGTCTAATCTGCATGTATGGCCTTGCTTCGTCCATAATGTGTAGTATTTGCCTGATATGTACTTAGTATTGTTGTGGGGATTTCATTTTTTGTTGCTCGAGGACGGCGAGTGCGCGCGGTCGTCGGCTTCCCTCTTTTATTTTTTCTTTTTCCTTTTTTTTATTTTTTTTTATTTCCGTTTCCGTTCCCTATTTCGGGGAGTATCCTTCTTTCAGGCTTCGGCCGAAGGGTGTGCTCGTCCTTCGGCCGGTTCGGACTTCGTTTATAACGTCCGTGATCTCAGGGGGGTCCCGTCGCCTATTTATGACGCAAGCTAGACTTTTGGTTGGTTTCCAACGGCTGCCGTTGCCCATCCCTGAGTTTTGGGATTTTGTCACCTCGGCCATGATTTCAGGCCTGTCGTCCTGCGATCTGGCGCGTGGACGGCGCGGTGAGCTTCCTGTTTCAAGACGCGGGCCATTTGCGGGCCCCTCGTCCTGGGGACATCGTCGGCCATACCTGAGCGTTTCACTCTAGGCTTACGGGGCCAGGACGATGTGCTCTCTCAGCTAGGCCTGGGCCCTTCGCTGATACAAAATATAAAGTGGAGCAGACCTGAGCCTTTCGCTCGAAGGCTGCTGATACGACACGTGGTATCTTCTATTTACATTTCCAAAAAATAAGCGGAATACAATGGGTGCGTTGTTCATGGCAACGGCTTTTGGGCGACACGATTAGCGTCTCGGAGAACGAGGTGTACCGTTTACCGCTCTCGGGCATAATGCCATATGCGGCCGGTAGCGGCTCTCATTTTTAGATGCCCGAGTCAACAAATAAAGGTGGCTAGGGTAGGTCGAGGGACCCAAATATAATTAAAATCATCATATAAAGATGTTCGGTAGGCTAGAGCTCGGGTCCACCACTTTGGGGATTTTTGACCCGGTTTAATGCCGGTGATAAAAATAATAACGCTAATAATAATGCACATTAGCGACCTCGGGAAATTTTAATCCCTCATAATGGTCTTCACCACCTCGGGGGTTTTTAACCCACCATAATGGTGGTGGAAATAATATAATTAATAATAGTAATAATTATACTACTATACCTTAATAAATATATTAAGTTTATAAATAAGAGTATTGGGCACTTAGCTCTTATTTGGGCCGTTTGAGATAATGGGCCAGGAGTTGGAGCTTCTTGATGATAGGCTTTGATTAATGGGCCTTGACTAATCTGCCTCACAGCACTTGACCTAGCCCTTTGCCTGCTCTCTTGTTGGCAAGCGGGCAGCCTTGCCTGCGACAGTCGAGACCCCCAAGCAGCGCACAATTGCTGCTGCACTCTGTCCACAGGAGCAGCCAACAGTGAGGATAGCGATGGAGAGTCCCTCAGGCAGTACCAGCGGCGGCGAAGCTTCCTCCGTTGGAGGCTTGTACCCTCAGGTGGGCCCACGAAAGTGTTTCACAACCGGAAGCGACGTCGCTACGAATCCGACAGCACCAGACAACAGTCTCTGGCTCAGACCTGGGACGGCTGCTTTCGATGCTAGCGTGCGGCCAAGACTAGGACGGCGGTGACCTTTCCGGCGAGGACATCTCCGGCGAGGGATCCCAGACGCTTATCGTTGCTTTTTTCATTTTCAGACTGATTTTTCTCGGCAGGTAAAG